CCCGCTCGGAGCCCTTCCACGCTGCACCCGGGTCGGGCCTCCAGCCACCCAAGGTCGGAGCCGGGCGCCGCAGGGGTGCACGCGGGGGACTCGGGGACGGGGCCTCCCGAAGAGAATGGGCGGTTTGGCCGGGGTGTGGGGGAGACACGGCTGCTGCGCGCGCGCGGAGGTGGCCCCGGTACCGCCAAGGCTGAGCTCCACCTTCTGGCTTAGCCGGCCCTGCGGCGAGGCCCGAGCGCCGCGAGCCGAGGCCCGAGACCCGCGAGCCGAGCCCCGCGAGCGGCGAGGCCCGAGCGCCGCGAGCCGAGGCCCGAGACCCCCGAGCGGCGCCGGCCACTCCCCGCCCGGGACGCGGCGCTCTGCTCCGCGTGGCAGATGCACCTCTCTCCCCGACCGGCTCCTCTGCTCGTTTTTCTACCTCACTTTCGGATTCTTTCTGATTAGCCGCATTCTCTTTGTCTGACGGTTGGCTTTTAGAAGATCATAGGCAGTGATGCTCTTCACGCTGCTGCCCGGCCCCCTGCTCCTCCACCCCAGGTGCCGGGCAGCGCGGTGCTCTCCCGCAGCTGGTTGGGCTTGTCTGGGACGTCCTTCAGTGTGCTTTGCACGGCCTGGGGTTTACGGGACCCAGAGGGTTGTAAAGCGTTGATGTAGCTCTTTCCTGCAGTGTAGAGGATTCCTCCCCAAATCCTCCCCATACGGGTGTTTCTCTATTGTTATTGGTGAGGCAGAAACCTTCGTTTGTGTTTTAGCTATTAGTATCGTCTGTGTCGTTTACCAGCACATATTCTTTTCATACATGTTGAAAATGTACTACCCAATATATCTTTGGACTTCAGGGAAGTAATCTGGACTTCTTGCTGTTTTGTTTCCTAAAAGGCCAGATTTTTTTTCCTTACTAATTTTGGGCTTTGTGTTATGTTTCAAAGGGCTGCCATACTTAATAATTATTTTTAAAATAATTTGTGTTGTTGCTGCTGCTGCCGTTGTTTTTTTGTGCGGATACTGGGGCTTGAACTCAAGGCCTGGGTGCTGTCTCTGAGCTTTTTATTTTTTTTACTTAAGGCTAGCATTCTACTACTTAAACCTCCACTTCCAGCTTTTAGTGGTTAATTGGAGATAAGAGTTTCACACACTAGCCGGGCGCTGGTGGCTCACGCCTGTAACACTAGCTACTCAGGAGGCTGAGATCTGAGAACCGCGGTTCAAAGCCAGCCCGGGCAGGAGAGACCGTGAGGCTCCTATCTCCAATAAACCACCAGAAAACCGGAAGTGGCGCTGTAGCTCAAGTGGTAGAGCGCTTGCCTTGAGCTGAAGAGCTGAGGGACAACGCCCAGGCCCAGAGTTCAAGCCCCACAACCGACCAAAAAAAAAAAAAAAAAGTTTCACACACTTTCCTGCTCAGACTGAATTTGCACCACGATCCTTAGATCTCAGCCTTCTGAGTAGGATTACAGGCATGTGCCCAATGTAATTTGTTGTTTGTATCTAGCATTTGTAATATGTTGAGTCCCTCTAGAATTTATTTAGGCGTGGGAGGAGCTTGGAATCTATCTTCATTTACCCTCCTAACCATTTTTCTCACTATGCACTATTAAAAATTTGTCTTGCATTCATTTGGAAAACCCACCTATACCCAAAAAAACGTGCATAACATTTGGGGGAATGGGCACTTTGCAGTGACTGTCCATGCAAATATACACATATATCTGATACTTTATAAGAAAAATGAGATGACTCTTTCTGCCCCTAGGCACTTCCCCACGCAGACCATAATACCCATCATTTCATCCTTGAATATCCCATTTGTCATGTGCCTGCCTTTGGTTGTAGAATAGGCTCTGTGTCACTACTGCAGCCTTTCCTTGATATTCTGGAAGACTCAAGCCCATTCTCTATAGGGCCAGTTTATCAGTTGGGTCCGCTCTTTTTCCCCTCTTTTGAAGATGTTGAATACTGCAGTTTACCTTGTCATGGTACATATCTAGCACCCACCCATGCCCAGGCCTTCCCTTCTCACTTAGGCAAATCCTCCTTTAGGTCTTAGACTTGATGCCTAGGCCACTCGACTCAGAGCAACCACTGCTCAGCTTGTGCTGCCAGCACCCAGCTTGAGCCATAGGGCTGGAGTCTATCCTGTCAGAGTGCTAGGACTGCCAAAGAATACATAAGCATGACTCAGGATCTGAACCCTCTAAGACCTCTATATAACTGTGGTGCTTCAAGCAGGACCGTCTTAATTCCCACCCTGGTGGCCAAACTTCTCTCATCGGAAGTGTGTCTTAGGAGGTAACTTGGTCTGATACCTGTAGCCCCCATGTGACCCATGTAAGTGCCTTGGAAATAGAACACACTGATTCCTGAGAATCTGCTATTGTGCACAGGCAAAACCATGGGCCAGAGCAAAGAAAGTGATCAGCCAATCATGAGGGTCCCTGAAGTCTGGAGCGAGAAGACGGGGACCCTTTGCCCTCAGGAGGCCAAGGGGTCCATATGCAGCTCAGAGATCTTTGGTGCTTATTAAGTGAGACTTTCCTGGGCCATGGCCCAGTGCCTGTTCTGGCTGGAACCATGGCCTGGAACCCTGTGTTTGTTCAGGGCCTGGACAGGCCTCCACAATCAAAGATCCAACTTGGCATGGGTGAGGGGATGTGACAGAGAAGACCTGCAGTGGCTGCAGCTCCTGGGGCCTCCTCTCAGCATGCTGCTCACCGGCTCAGCTTTGTATGAGGACAAGGGTCCCCCAAGAAGTCAGGGGCTACTGGGAGCAAGGCCCAATCCCTTACATGTTCTTCACCTCTCTGACCCACAGGACTCTCTGGCTCCTGTTGCTCGCACAGGCACTGAAAAGACATGATGGCAGCAGCTGGGTTTCTGCGGCTGCCAGCAGCACCCCAGGTACGCTATCCCAAGCTGGTACGGTGTCCCTCGCCAAGACTCCTTCCGTTTCTTCCACATTGAGGATTCGTGGGGAAGCCTGAGTATCACCTCATCACCTGTGTTGAGACACTCCTTCCCCCATTTTCCTCTCAGACATTGAGGTTTGTCCTCACCTGACTCTCTTGTTATTCTAGGCCAAAGTGACTTTTGAGGATGTGGCTGTGCTCCTCTCCCAGGAGGAGTGGAACCAGCTGGGCCCTGCTCAGAGGGGTCTCTACAGAAACGTGATGATGGAGACCTATGGGAATGTGGTTTCCCTGGGTAAGGCCCCTCCAGAGGCCTGTCTGTGGCCATACGTGGTGGACTGGGATGAGGGTTTCCAAAGGGAGATGGCTGTGGAATGAGGACTCGGGACAGGCTCCTGGTGGCTCACTCACCTCCAGATGTTCATTGCAAACAAGTCAGGCCCGTCCATCTTCATGTCCCCAGAGGTGACGCTGGCTAAGAGGATATTGGTAAATGTATAAACAAAGGGCTTCCCTCCCAACAAACAGGATTACCAGGATCCAAGCCCAGTGTAATCTCCCAGCTGGAAAGAGGAGAAGACCCGTGGGTCCTGGATGGGCCGGGAGCAGAGGAGAGCCAGGGCCTGGGACAGAGCCTCTCAGGTGAGTGCTGGGAGGGACCCTACCTTCACTAGAGGCTGAGCTTGTTCAGACTTGAGCCTCTCATTGCCATGCTTTCCACCCATCTGGGATGAGCCTATGAAGCCTTGCCTGGCCTTGGGGTCCATAGGTGGCCAAGTGCTAGGCCCAGCAGAAAGCAGGTATAGCAGGGAAGCTGGATGGGATGGCAGAAATAAGTACAAAAGGTAAGGTAGGAGGGCAGAACTGATTATACACAATATCAGCCCACAGACAGAGGCGATTCTGTCCCTGCCAAAGAGACAAAAGCTGGTTACCAAGGTCCTAAAAGGACATTTACTCTGTGATTATTACCTACTTGGTTTAGAAAAAAACAAAGCATCCTACAAATAGAGGGGAGTTTCTCAACCTGATTTTCATGGAAAAAGCTGAAAAATTATCTGGGTGCCCGTGGCTCATACCTGTAATCCTAGCTGCTCTGGAAGCTGAGACCTTGAGGATCATGGTTCAAATCCATGAGACTCTTCTCTCCAGTTATTTACCCTAAAGGCCAGAAAATAATGAAAACTATTAATAAAAAGCCACTAGTGGAGTTGTTGCTCAAGTGGTAGAGGCTTGAGCACAAAATCTCAGGAACAGCGCCTAGACCCTGAGTTCAAGCCCCAAGATCCAGAAACAAAAAACAAAAAGCTGAAAATTTGCTATTTGAGCAAGTCAGAACAGCCCACTGTTCTCCATATAGTATTGTACTCTGTTTCCATGTGTGAAATAATATTCTCAACTTAGAAAAGAATTAGATTTTTTTCCTTTTTCTTTTTCTCTCGTGTGTGTGTGTGTGTGTGTGTGTGTGTGTGTGTGTGTGTGTGTGTAAGTGTAAGTAAGTAATTTTTAAAGTCTGGCGCTGATGGCTCATGCTTATAATCCTAGCTACTCAGGAGTCTGAGATCTGAGGATCATGGTTTGAAGCCAGCCCAGGCAGAAAAGTCCCCATAAGACTCTTATCTCCAATTAACCACTCAAAAACTGAAAGTGGTGCTGTGGCTCAAGTGATAGAGTGCTAGCCTTGAGCACAAAGAGGCTCAGAGACAGAGCCCAGACCCTGAAATCAAGGCATGCAACAACAAAAAAAAAAGTGTAATCTTTAAATAATATCAGATACATAAAGTATCTGGGAACTTAACAAAAGATATATGTGATATTTATGGAGAAAATTATAAAACAGAAGATGGTGTGATATGTGTAGATCTAGCCCTGAAGGTTGTGTTCATAGTTGTTTTGGGTGAAGAAGCTCTGTTTGCAGAGTAGTGACATGAGAATCTTGGGAAAATGTTAATGGAGTAACACAGTTCATACTCCAGTGATTGGGTAGGTTCAGCATCTCAGTGTGGCTGTTTTCCCTTTGAGAACTGTATCTAGGTATTATAGGCAGCCTGCCTCTGTTGGTCTTTACTAGAGGAACAGTGGATGTGCCCACCTCAGAGGAGTTAAATCTTTCTGTGACTGGAAGCAAGAGGACACATTAGGTTACAGAAGTCTTGCAAAAGACTTTTTTTTAAGATTCTGTTTCTCAGGCCGGTTTGTATCTTTTGGCTCAAATGATCCTCTTGAGTAACTAGTACTGTAAGTGTGTCACACCACACAATACTTCACAAAGAACTTTAAGCTGCTGGCTATAACCACAAGAAGCAAGAAAATAGAAAGCATTTCCATCCACTGCCAAACCAGATTTGTTCTCCAGAGAGGCCAGCCTGTGGTCCGAACTAGTAGAAAATAAGACTTGTCTTTTTTTTTTTTTGGGGGGGGGGGGGGGGCGTGGGGCTTGAACTCTGGGCCTGGGCTCTGTCCCTCAGCTCTTCAGCTCAAGGCGAGCACTGTACCACTTGAGCTACAGCGCCACTTGCAGTTTTCTAGTGGTTTATTGGAGATAGGAGTCTCACGGTCTTTCCTGCCCAGGCTGGCTTTGAACCGAGATCCTCAGATCTCAGCCTCCTGAGTAGCTAGGATTACAGGCATGAGCCACCGGTGCCCAGCAAGACTTTTCTTTTTCTTTTTTTTTTTTTTTTTTCTGGTCGTGGGGCTTGAACTCGGCCTGAACGCTGTCCCTCAGCTCTTCAGCTCAAGGTGAGCACTCTACCACTTGAGCCACAGCACAACTTCTGGTTTTTTGGTGATTTATTGGAGATAAGAGTCTCATGGAGTTTCCTGCCCAGGCTGGCTTTGCACCATGATCCTCAGATCTCAGCCTGCTGAGTAGCTAGGATTATAGATGTGAGCCACCGGCGCCCAGCAATAACACTTTTCTTGGGAGCCTTTGAGTTTTGTACTGAAGGTAGATTTTCCAAGAACACAGAAGCACCTGATCACTGCCTCTGGCACTAGCCATGGTAGAGGATGATACTGAGTGAGTTCTAAATACAGATGTGCATAGAAACAGGGATTGACCGCCATTGTCTGGGCCATGGTATCAGCCTCAACTAGCAGGGAGCAGAGTGCTCTGGAGGCTTATCTCGGTAGCTCTATAGGTAAATATAGTATGTACACCTGCCTAACTCCCCTGCTGTTTTGCACTGTGTTCCAACAGCAGTAGAATTTTTCCACTCTCCAGGGAAATGTTTTGTTGTCACCTAACTCTTTTCCTTTTACAGACAGCCTCAAATGTGACCACACTGCAGACTGTATGCAACAGGACAGTTTATCTTGTCCATGGAGTAACTGTATATTTATTGTTTCTTCTTCTTCTTCTTCTTTTTTTTTTTTTTTTTTTGCCAATCATGGGATTTGAACTCATGGCCTGGGCACTGTTCCTGACCTTTTTTTTTTTCTCTCAAGGCTAGCGGTCTACCACTTGAGGCACAGCACCACTTCTGGCTTTTTCTGTTTATGTGGTACTGAGAAATCGAACCTGGGCTTTATCCATGCTAGGCAGCCACTGTACCACTCAGCCACCTTCCCAGCCTAGTTATTCTTCTTAATTCAGTACAGTTCCTAAAGGTGGTACTCCTATGTAACCAGAACAACATATTGATATTCACTAGAGAGCTACAAAGCTTGTTCTGTAGCTCACACAATCCCCACAACACTAAAGGAGGCTTTTCCTAATTAAAAATTTGTTTTGGTAAGAGTCTCTTTTTTCACCTTTACATATTTTGTCATTATTAGAACATTCTACCTGGGTTAGAAGCATGAGACCCTGAATCCAAACCCATTACCTTAAAATAATAATAAATAAACAATGTTCCCTCTCCGTTCGTAAAGCTACAACTAAATCTAAGGATTTTTTTGTTTTTTGTTGGTCATGGGGCTTGAACTCTGGGCTTGGGCGCTGTCCGTGCACTCTTCAGCTCAAGGTGAGCACTCTACCGCTTGAGCCACAGCACCACTTCTGGTTTTCTAGTGGTTTATTAGAGATATGAGTCTCACAGAGTTTCCTGCCCGGGCTGGCTTTGATCTGTGATCCTCAGGTCTCAGCCTCCTGAGTAGCTAGGATTACAGGTGTGAGCCACCGGTGCCCAGCTGAATCTAAGGTTTTAAGTGTAAACTGACATTGGCTCAATGCAAGGTACATGGCAGGCATGGCTCTTACCTTCCTTCACAGCAACTTGTATATTGTGCTTTATGTCATGGAGGACTGAGTTAGCTCCGGTGTGATTGATTCATTTTTTATTACTAAATTTATTTTGTTCATATTATTACTCTAGCATTAGGTATGAAGCCATCTATTTAGGAAACTCCACAAACAATAGAAATGATACATTTTAATGTAAATTAATAATTCTTTCTTTGGCCTACAGGCTTTTATTTCTGAGAAGATGGAGCTAATGACTTAAGAAAAAAAATTTTAGTGTGATGCCCTGTGGCTCACACCTATAATCCTACCTACCAGGAGGGTGAGAAGTGAGGAGCATGGTTCGAAGCCAGCACAGGCAGGAAAGTCTATGAGGCTCTTATCTCCAGTTAATCACAAAAAGAGCTGCAAGTGGAGCTGTGGCTCAAGTGGTAGAGTGATAGCCCTGAGCAAAGGAAACTCAGACTGTGCCCGAGCCCTGATTTCAAGTCCTAGGACTGGCACCAAAAATAAAAATAAAATAAAAACAGAACCAGTCTATAGTGCCTTTTTTAAAACGGCACATAATATTACCCTTCCTCACCTGAGTTAATCTACATTTGAACAAGTCAAATAAATTATCTATCACTATATTTGGGTTGTTGTTTCCTCCCCTCCACCCCCCGGCATGTCCCAGGGCTTGAACTCAGAGCCTGGGTACTGTCCCTAAGTATCTTTGGCTCTAGGCAAACAGTCTACCACTTGAGCCACAGTGCCACTTCCAGCCTTTTCTGTTTTTGTAGTACTAAGGAATTGAACCCAGGGCTTCATTCATGCTAGGCAAGCACTCTTACCATTGAGCCACATTCCTAGCCCCTATGTTTGGGTTTTTATCATCATTGTTACTTTTTTTGTGTGTCAGTCATAGGACTTAAACTCTGGGCCTGGGTACTGTCCCTGCGCTCTTCAGCTCAAGGTGAGCACTCTACCACTTGAGCCACAGCACCACTTCCGGCTTTTTTCTTATGTGGTGCTGAGGAATTGAACCCAGGGCTTCATTCATGCTAGGCAAGCACTCTTACCATTGAGCCACATTCCTAGCCCCTATGTTTGGGTTTTTATCATCATTGTTACTTTTTTTGTGTGTCAGTCATGGGGCTTGATCTGGGCTTGGGTACTGTCCCTGCGCTCTTCAGCTCAAGGTGAGCACTCTACCACTTGAGCCATAGCACCACTTCAGTTTTTTCTGCTTATGTGGTGCTGAGGAATCGAACCCAGGGCCTCAGGCATGCGAGGCAAGCGCTCTGCCACTGCGCCACCGTCCTGGCCCTGTCTTTCTTCTTTCATCAGCACTAGGGTTTGAACTCAAGGACCTGTGCTTGTCTACTCTGCCATCTGAACTCAAGGACCTGTGCTTGTCTACTCTGCCATCTGAACCACACCTCTAGCCCCTGGATCTCATGTTTTTGCCAGGGGCCAGCCTCTCAGACCATGGTAAATGCTCCCAATTCTACTTTCAGAATAGCTAACATTATAGGTGTGCTCTACCATGTCCAGCTTAATATCTTTTTTTTTTTTGGCCTGTTTTGGGGCTTGAACTTCGGGCCCAGGCACTATCCCTGAGCTCAAGGCTAGTGCTCTACCAATTGAGCCACATTGCCACTTCTGGCTTTTTCTGCGATTAATTGGCAATAAGAATCTCAGGGGGGCTAGGAAGGTGGCTCAGTGGTAGAGCGCTTGCCTCGCATGCATGAGGCCCTGAGTTCAATTCCTCAGCACCACATAAGCACAAAAAGCTGGAAGTGGCACTGTGGCTCAAGTGGTAGAGTGCTAACCTTGAGCTGAAGAGCTAAGGGACAGCACCCAGGCCCGGAGTTCAGGCCCCACAACCAGCAAAAAAAAAAAAAAAGAATCTCAGGGACTTGGCCTGGGAATGTGGTTTAGTGGTAGAGTGTTTGCCTAGCATGCCTGAAGCCCTGGGTTCCATTCCTCAGTACTACATAAACAGAAAAAGCTAGAGGTGACACTGTGGCTCAAGTGGTAGAGTGCTAGCCTTGAGAAAAAGAAGCTAAGGGACAGTGCCCAGGCCCTGAATTGAAGCCCCAGGACTGGCCAAAAAAAAATTAAATCTTATAGACTTAACTGTCCAGACTGGCTTTGAACCGCGATCCTCAGATTTTGGCCTCTGAGAAGCCAGGATTACAGGCGTGAGTCGCCAACTCTAGGCCAGCCTAATATCTTGACAATTGTTTTCTTTGCTTTTTTTTTCCTTTCTCTTTTGAGTAGCTTATAATTTTTTGGGGGGGAATGGAGGGTGGGGTCCAGTTGTGGGGCCTGAACTCTGGGCCTGGGCGCTGTCCCTGCACTCTTCAGCTCAAGGCTAGCTCTCTACCACTTGAGCCACAGCGCCACTTCCGGCTTTTTTTTTCTGCTTATGTGGTGCTGAGGAATCGAACTCAGGGCCTCAGGCAAGCGCTCTACCACTGAGCCACCTTCCCAGCCCTAACTTTTTTATTGAATGTAAATAAACTGTCTGGAGAGAGCCTGTCCTGCTGTACAGCCATAGGTTTTGTTCTGATTGCTATGATTGCTTTGCATGTACTACCTGAGTCATGTTCCTCTGGCATTTTCTTGTGCTTATGGTGGGAGTTCAGCCCTCACAGAATCTGTACCTTAAACAGAGATCTCTATGCTTGCTTCATTCCAGTCATAGACTGCTTTGTCATCCAGGGCTTCATGGCCTGGGTTGGAGACCAGACTTGACTATCCTGACCTATCTTCAGTCACCAGATGCTATTTCTCTGAGTTTTTTGTTGTTGTTGTTAGTGGTGGTGGTAGTCGTGGGCCTGAACTCTGGGCCTGGGCGCTGTCCCTTAGCTCTTCAGCTCATGGCTAGCACTCTACGACTTTAGCCACAGAACCACTTCCAGCTTTTTCTGCTTATGTGGTGCTGAGGAATTGAACCCAGGGCATGCAAGGCAAGTACCACTGAGCCACCATCCCAGCCCAGTGAGCTACCATCCCACCCCTTTGCTGCGTTTTTTTATGGTTTGTTTTCTTTTGTTTTTTGTTTTTGGCCAATCCTGGGACTTGAACTCAGGGCCTGGGCACTGTCCCTGAGCCTGTCTGTGCTCAAGGCTAGCACTCTACCACTTGAGCCATAATGCCACTTCCAGCTTTTTCTGTGTATGTGGTACTGAAGAGTAGAACCAGGGGCTTCATGTATGCTAGGCAAACACCCTACCACTAAGCCACATTCCAAGCCTCACTTAGGTTTATGATTGAACTCTTTTCTGTAATACTGCTGGCGATGACCTTCACTGTCTGAGCCCATGATCTGAGGTAGTGGATGTTTTCTTTGTTCCAGCCACAGTGACTGTTAGTGTCTTTCCAGGGAGTTCCATCTTTTGTTTCACGGGTAAGAAGAGACTAGGCAATTGTTTATCCTCCCCTTCTCCAGACCTGGGCCTCCCAGGGAGGCCTTCTCATGAAGGAGATCTATGCAAAAGAATGCTGTTGTATATGACTCTCTCAGGCTCTTTAGAGATGAAAGGCTTCTCCTCACCCTCTTGTCTTTCAGCACCATCTTCCTTCTTCAGTGAGCACAAATCAGTTCACAGTCTCTTCTCTCCATGATCACCTGCTTCGGGCTCTTGAGTTACATGTACTCTTAGCTTTTTCCAATTTTGGGGATATGAGTGATGCTCTTTCTTACTTTCTCCCTCCTGGGGAGAGCAAGTTAACATACAATTAAAATAGCAACAATGATATTGCATCTGACATATACTTAATAAAAGAGATTCTGAAGATTGAGTCAGATTGGTTAGTGCAGCCTTATGACTTCTCGCTGCCATATTGGCGTTTGTGCTTCTCTCGCTTCTGGCGGTGAATGTAGATTGCATTAACGTCAGGGAGCCAGTGGTCAGGGACTAGGGCTAGCAACAAGGGTCTGCATGCTGATGTGGCAGAGACAAAGATGAGATGATGGAAGCGCTATCTGGACTGCTTACCAGTTGCAGGACTTGTTCTAAGAGAAAGCTAAGTTCTGTCCGGATGGAGAACTCTGGCAAGCACCCAGTCAAGTCAGTAGGATATCTTCATGTGGCTAACCTTAGGATGGATATGGTAGAGCACGTTAATAGGGTCCAGGACCACCACCAAGGTAGCCCTTCACCCTCAGTGTTATTTCTGGCCCACGTTCTTAAGGTGTGACGTTGAGGGTTTGCCACAGTCTATTCTACCTCCAACCTTTTATAAGAACTGTTAGCATTTGGCGTGTCTCTCATAGGTAACCATTACTTGGATGCCTAAGGCAAGACAAATCAAATTAAAGCATGTTTTATTTTTCAGCTGCTTTTGTCCAAATCTTCAGTCTTAAACACTATGGGGATGTTTCTACTCACTGTAGAAGTTCCCTTGTCATTGTGCATAGATAGGCCCTCAGAATCTGATGACCGTAGTTCTCAGGTCTCTTTGTTGAGGGTCTTGAGGCATCCTGAGACCCATTGTTAGCTCTTGTCTTCCCAAACTAATTTCTGAAACAATTACAAAATAAAACTCGTGGGCTATAAGTATAGAGCACTTGCCTAGCATATGCGAGGCAGTGAAGGAATGGACGAAAAATAGAGCTTCTGCAAGGTGCCAGTGGCTCTTGCTTATTTTTTTTTTTTTTTTTTTGTCGGTCATGGGGCTTGAACTCTGGGCCTGGGCGCTTTCCCTCAGCTCTTCAGCTCAAGGCGAGCGCTTTACCACT